CCCTGCTCTCCAGGAACATTCTATGACATGTATTTACAACTCATCACACTGTATATATGTATATATATGTATATGTATATATGTATGTGTGTGTGTGCGCGTGCGCATACACACACACACACACACACATATATGAAGGTAGAATGACAGAGAAAGCTCTCTTATCTGCTGGTTGACTCGTAAATACCTCTAACAGTCAGTGCCAAGCCAGGCCAAAGCCAGGAAACAGGAATGCTCTCTGGGTACCACATGTGGGTGGCAGGGACACAGTCACTTGGGCCATTATCTGCTGCATCCCAGGCACACTAGCAGGAAGCTGGATTGGAAACAGAGACAGGACTGGATCCCAAGTACTCTGATATGGTATGCAAATGTCCAAGTAGAAGCTTAACTTGCAGTGCCACAATGCTTAACCCCTTACTGAAATAAGTTCCCCATCACAGTGGGACTATGTCTTACTGATATGGCCATTCAGTCAATATTTGTGCATTTGTGAAACTATCCCCTCACCCCACACCCAGGACTTGACTGGCGATACAACAATCAACAAAAACCTCTCTTAAGGGGTTAGCATCCTAAAAGTGGAGCCAACCTGTTTTACCCCCAAAATTCCAGTTCCTGGCTCTCGATGAATATAAGGTTAGAAAGACAGCTGGGTATACCAATAAGCCTTTGCAATAGTCTCTCCCTGCCATTCTCTTCCCCAGCTCATTTTCTCTTACTTAAATTCTGTTTGAGATTTCACCTGTGTATTTGTCGGTCAGTATGTATCCAGGTAGTCTGAAAGAGATCAAGACAAAATTTCTCAGCAAAATTCCATGTTCACCCTCCCCTTTCCCTTGTCTGCCCTCCCTCCTCTATTAATCTTGTCACATTTCCCTGGCTAGCCAGAACTACTACTGTTAGGCACCCAACCTAAGTAGTTGCCTTGCCCAAATACTCGAGGTTCTAATTTACTTCCTGCTCATCTTCTCTGAACACCCCTGAAGTCAGTGTTGTCCCAAGGCCTCACACTTCATTCCCCACCAGCTGAGAAAGGGCCTCCTCTCCAGCCCTGATTCCTCTGCCACAGACCCTACCTTGTACTGAAACACTCATTCTCTTACCTGGCTCTTCCTTGAGGGACCTTGGGTTGAATTCTTTCCATGCCTAGCACCTTCCAGAGTCTGCAGCAGCTTGATAAAGTATTCATAAGGAAATAAATGAGAAAGGTGTACGTACACACACACACACACACACACACACCCTCTATGAATTTGCCCTGTGTGACTTTTAGCCAACCAGCGTCTACACTTGCAGGGAGTTCTACACCAATGAGGCAGCCAGAATTACCACTTTGTACCCAAGGGAGAGGAAGTCCTCTCTTTCAAACTGTCAAAAGTTAAATTTCAAATGTGTTTCGAGATCCCTGGTCAGGTACAATGCAGTCTGGCCTATGTGAATAACGTATCACAAGGGTGTTTCTGCCTGTTACCCAGGTGGGTCCTTTCTCCCGAGTGAGTGCCTGGCACGGTCTGGTTGAGATTTTGCGGCCTATTCTTCGAAGTTAAGTATCCTGTTGGGGGGGGGGGGTGGAGGAGTGAGGAGAAGAAATGCCTGCGTGCGTGGAAAATTACCAGCTTTCTGAAGGGCAGGGCAGAGAGATCTTCCGGGTCACCTGGGTGCTCTGGGTCATGCATTAGTAGGAGCCGGACCCAGGGCTCCGGACCGCGAGCCCTGGCCCCTGGCTCTGGCTCCTCTTCCCCTCCCCCACGCGAGGCGGGATCCTCGCTGGCGAGGTGGCGGTGGCGGCCGCTTCCAGAACCCGGCCGCCCTCCCCTCTGCCGTCCTCGCCAAGCTCCGAAGATGTCAAAGATTCTTGAGCAGGGGTTTTCCAATCTGCCCCCTTGAGGAGCTGCCCCCGAGGCAAGGCGGGCGGGCCCGAGCTGCGATGTGGAGAATTCGATGTCCGCGCGACCTCCTCAGAGGAGTGGGTCGAGTTAAATATAACCGCGCGAATGGAATGGCGCTAAAAATAAGGCAACAGCTGGCGGGTCCACAGCCTGTCCCGGGAAGGGCGGGGGCCCGAGTGGTCCTGGGCAGGAAGGCCGCTCCCGGCCCAGGGGCGAGCAGGCCGCGACGTCGCAGCCCGCGCCGGAAGGCCGCCGGCGAGCGGCCCGCCTTGGGGGTGGGGGCTCCCTCCCTGCGCGGGGCCCGGAGGTGGACGCGGGGTCTTGCGGTGGCCTGGCACGGGGCACGTGGCGAAGGAGTCAGAAAGCCGGGCGCGCTGACCTGCGGGCACGCCGGGGGAGTGGGCTGGACGCCCCGCCGCCAGGGGGAGCAGGACCCGAGAGGAGAAGCGGAACCTCGAGGGGGCCCGGCGCGGCCAGAGGTCCGAGCGCAGGTCGCGCTCCCCGCCTTCCCACAAGCCCCTTCCCGCGCGCGCGCCCTCCCGCGCCCGTGCCCTCGCCATCAAGCCAACAATTGAAACGTTTCCAAAACGGGCTATTTATTTGCTCCCAATAAATCGATCGACGGTGATTAAGAAATCGATGTGGCCTGGGTGGGCGAGTCGCTCGCGGAAAGGGAAAGGGACTTTCTCGCCCCGCGCCCACCGGGGAGGCCGAGGGCGGGCGGGCGCGGGTAGGAGAGAGGCGTGTCCCGCTGGGGCCACACCCGAGGAGCCGGCACCTGGGCGCTCGCGGCCCAACAGGCCGCGCTCCCTCGGGCGGCGAGGGACGCGCCCGCCGCCTGCTTTCCGCAGGCCCCGGGCGCCCTTCTTCCTCGCGCGCTGTGCGGCCGCCGCGCCGAGGCTTTTGTTACTCCTCCGCCGACTGAATGGGGATTTTGTAAAGCGGGACAGATAAAAATGAGCAGCATCATATTGTTTGACAGAGTGATCCCGCATGATGAAGTGTCGGCTCCGAAGGGGGTGAAAATGGTGAATTCCTAAAAACCCAGCCCCCGGCTCCTCCGCGGGCTGCCGGTAGCCTGGAGGGACCCCGCGCGCCGCCTGGCCCGGCCGCCGCGCACCAAGCCGCGACGCAAAGACTCGAGCTCCCAGTGCCAAGTCATTTTTAAGCCCCTGGTCTTGCCCAGGACCTTTCTCCTCGCGGATGAAAAGAACAATTTTCGAGAGAAAGGCTCGTTTTGATTAAATCTGACATGCTGCTGATAACTCCATGCTAATGTGAAATAATTAACATAATAGCCATAATTAAAAGCACGCTAACAATGCCATAAATTTATCACACAATTTTACTAGCTTTCTGCCCCTAACCGCTCTCTCATCGTTAATTAAACGTGTTGCCTTTTACAGAATGGATGTTTATACATTTCCAATATAAATAAATTCGAAACCATCCCCTCTCTCTCCTTTCCTTTTGGTCTCTCGCCGTCGACAGGCACGCCTAGGCGTGTACCTTCGGTGACAGGTACTTTGAAAATAAATTCAGTTTTGAGATGCAAATTCAAACAAGAACATTCCATCAGCCGTTTATTTATTTGACCCAAAGAAAGGTGGAAAGGTGCGAGAGCGCTATGAAGGGCGGCTTTGAGAAGTTGAAAATCGCACCCGCTGGGAAATGGAAGATAATCCTGCGGGTAGAGGTCCCGGGTACCCCCTCGGCCCGTCCCACCTTCCCTTGTGGCCGCCCTCCTGACAAAGAGATTAGTAATAGTTGAACAGATCTGTGAAGACTGCCCAGGGGCAGGCGTTGGTCCTTGAGGGAGGGAGCGAATGGGGGGTATTTTCCGTAAGGCTCCACCCATATTTTGCCTCCTTTTCGAGAGCCGGGGTAGCCCCTTGGGGTGGGGGCCGCGACCCCCACTCGTTAGAACTTGACCCTGGCTACCCGGGTTGTAAGAATAGGGCGTCTGTGCGCAGGCATGGGCGACTCCGTCTGACACCGCGCCAGCGATTTCTCCCAGCCCTGAGCGCGGTGTCTGAGTTCGAAGAGGCCTGACAAGGGGTAGGTGGGCCATTCCCACCTCGGGAACTCTGTGTCCGAGGCCCTCCTCCCGTGTTGACCGCCTAAGCCAAACTGAGCTGTAATTAATTTCCCTTCTCTGTCATAAATTGTTCCTCTATCCCTTTCTTCCCCAACCTGTCCTTCTCTCCCACCCAATCCCCCCCCCCCCCGCACACACTAAATCTCCCCTCCCGGGCGATGTCTCAATTTCCTTCCCATCCTACCCCCACCCCCGACCACCCAGTCCCAGTGGCTCCCCCAGCCGGGTGTTCCGTCCTCTGCCCACTCTGGGAGATCCCGAAAGGGACTTTCAATCTCATTCCCCTCTCTTCTGGGTGAAATGTATCACACACCTGAGCAGGTGAGACAGCCGCTGCCAACTTCCTCTTGACGCCTCTCCTGGAAAGTTTGCTCGCTGGGACCCAAGCAGTCACTCACTCCTAACTGTATGTGTGCGTGCGCTCATTCTCCTTCTACCTCCTGTTCCGCAACTCCTTGAGCCTCAGAAAAACGCGCATACCCCTCTCCCCCGCCCCAAATGTCTGCTGCCTCTCCCACACTGTCCCTCCTCGCCCTCCACGGAAGAGTCTTACTGACAACTTGCAGGCTTTGGGGCTGCAAACCTCAATTACGCGCAAACTGAATTCATCCACCCCAAACCCAGGCGGCCTCCAGCCCGGGCCCGTGCGCGCCCCGGCGGCCTCCCGCGGCGAGAACTTTCCTGTCTCCCGCCAGGGCCGCGCAAGGCTTCCTTCCCGTCCCGGGAGGCTGGGCTACAGCTACCGACCGCCCGGGAGAAAGAAGCCCGCGGCCGCGGAGAAACCCGTAGCCTCGGCGGAAAAGCCATAGTGAGCGGCGAGGCCGGCTCGGGCGCGGGACGTCGAGGCCGCAGCCAGTTGGTCCTGCGCGGCTCATCATTGAGCTAATCGAGTCGAAAAGTTTCTGTAAGGGCCGGCCCCGGCATCAGATGGTAACACTGATTGAACAAGAGATTAGCACAATGGATCTCTAACGGAGGGGAAGCGTCGCTTTTCACGCTACGCGCCGTAATTAATGGTATGAATCAATTAATTTGACTTTTATTGTGTCGAAGGAAAAAAGCGCAACAAATGGAACTGGCAGCTGGGAGTTGTTCAGCCCCCTTCCCCAGGGACGTTCCAAGGAGACACCCGGGAATGGACCGCTCAGGCCCCGGCTCGGCGGAGGGCAGGCGGGCTGCGGCGATGGGCGGCGTGGAGGGGGCTCCGAGCCAGCGCCGGCGGGCGGTGAAATCCGAGCTAGGTTTACTCGGAGACCACGTCGAGAAGAGCGGCGAGGGCAGCTTGGGGCCGCCGTGCTCCCAGGCGCGGACACTCGCACACGTCCACGCCACCGAGGCCTCAGTGGGGCCCGCGCCGCGCCAGGTGCCTGCCTCTCGCGCTGGGCGGTCCGGGTCGAGCCAAAGGAGCTTCCGGCTTTGTAAACGTCGGCTTCTGGTCCTCCCGACCTCCCTCTGGGTTGCGTTAGCAGTAGCCCCGGAGACCTCCGGCAGCCCAGGTCGGCGGGTAGCCAGCTTGCCACGCGGTCCCGTCGGTTTCGCAGAATGCAGTCTAGACGGCGTTGCCAACTCTTTAGGATCCTGCGGACCACAGCGCGGTGCAACTGCGGAAAACAGCTCAGAGATTCATTTTAGGGTCAGGTAGACCCCCGAGAGCATGGCGGGGGGGTCTCAGGGTGGAGCCAATCTCACCCGCCCCATCCCCAAGCGGAGACATCCTGCGAAGTCGGGATCCAGTGGGCTGGTTTTATATCCGGGGGAACGGTGTCAGGGAGATGGAAATTAATTTGTGTGTCGCAATGCCTGTAAGGGAGCAAGTTTATATATTTTTAGTTTTTAATTTATTTAGTGTGCCAGGCAAAGGACAGGGGTCACGGGTGGACTGAGAGAGGCAGAAGGTGCACTGTCCACCCGGATTTAAATCACTTTCCCGGGGACTTGTGTAAATATTTCACCGATTCCTGACTCTCAAACCCCCTCCTCTCGCGCTCCTTCCTCTGATGAGGCCGGCCCTCCCCTCCCCAGGCGGTCCGCAGCCAGGATGGGCTTGGGTTCCAGGAGCCCGCCACTCGTGGAAAGGCGGCCTAAATGCCGGCCACCGAGGCAGGCGCACCGCAAACTCAAGGGTCCCAAGCTCCGATCCCCCTCGGCGGTGTGGGGTCCACACGCCCTAGCCACGCCGCTCGCCGCCCCCCGGTTCCCGGTGAAGTCCCCACAGTCTTGCCTACCATCGCTGACTTTCCTAAGCAGGAAACTCCGAGTGCACCGGCCACCTCCTCGCCTCCACCACCCGCGCTGCCGCTGGTTTCCCGTACAAGTTCGATCTCGGACACAGCGGCTACGGCTACGCCTTCGGAGAGAAAATCCACGTTAGCGACCGGCCACAGAGGGCCCAGCTTGCCTGCAGGCTCCACGCCACCCCCGCTCCCCAGGCAGTCCTTCGGCGGTCCCCACGGGGCGCGGCGTCGAACCTGGAGGCCCCAGGCCTCCTCCCCGCGCCCGTCGACTTACCCAGGCAGTGGCCACTACCGGCTCCTTCCCCAGCGCCTCATTTCCGACTTTTTCATATGCTAAACCGCTAAGCAACTCCAAGCAGCCAGTTTCGGCTTCTTTAGAGGGTCCCTGTTTTTTGTTTTGTTTTGTTTTTAACGTCGTTTTTATTTCTCTCGGCAACTAATCTAATAGATTAATCAATAGCTATTTTCTGTCCTTCGGAGACGCTAGCGAATGCTGTTTTGCAGCCGCGCGGTGGGGAAAAACACGCTGGCATCAGTCAGGGAAAACGAAATCAGGCCCCGAGTGGTTAGACCTTGGTGGGAAGCAAGGGAGACGCCGCAGCAGGTGTCGTGCCCGCCACGGGCACTGAGGCTGCAGGGAGGTCTGCGGGCTGATTAGCAAGAGGAAGCCGGGTGCGCCGCCCTTACTCTTTACAGCTAAAAACAAACAAAAGCAGAAAAACGACCAAGTTTTTGCTTTTCAAAAAATGGGATGGAGATCTCATTCTACGTCGCCCAGTCCCTGTCCAAGGAGTGTGGGCGGAGGGGGGGGCGAGGGGGCGGGGAAGGCTGGGCCGCGGGAGCCCGGCGCTCCGGCAGCCGCTCCCAGGCCCACGCCCTCGCTGGCTCACACCCACCCACACCCGCCCCCTCCCCGGGCCCCAGCGCCCGCTCTGGCCTGGGCCGGGGTCTCGGGGCCGGCCGGCGCGCCCTCGGGGCCCGCGGGTGCCGGCGCGCGGTGCGGTGCAGAGTTGCGCGTCTTGTCCCTTTGTTGACAATTCCCTGAACCAACTTGAGTTTGGCCGGCTCCGCGGCGGCCCTGACGTCACGCGCGGTCACGTGGCCCCGCCTCCCGCTGGATCTTTAAGTAGAAAGTAATCTATCAGGCCAGTCCTTAAAACGGGACTTTCGACTACCGGGGCTTCGGCGGCCCTGACAAGACCCCCCAACCCCCCACCCCCGCCCCGCAGTTGCCCCTGCCCCGCGCCCTCCCGAGCTGCCCGGCGCCCGGTGTCCCGCGCCCTGCGCGCCTGGGGCCGGAGGCCGAGGACCAGCGGGTGAAGTGAGGGGGCGCGGCGTGGAGAAGCGGCCGGGGACTGCTGGAGTTGGCGGAGGGCGGCCGCGGGGGGCGGACGGCGGCGCCCGCGCCGCGCGATGCCTGGCCGCCGAGTGTGAGCGAGCCGGGCCGGCCCCGAGCCGCCTGACCCCCCTCTTCTCTCCCTGCCCCCATCTTTTCGGGGGGCGCCCAGAGCCCCTTCCCCGGAACTCCGCGGCAGCCCCTGACGACTCTCTCTGCGCCCGCCGCTCCCTCTCCGCCGCCGCCACCCACCCCGAGGAGGGATGACCCTCTCCGGCGGCGGCAGCGCCAGCGACATGTCCGGCCAGACGGTGCTGACGGCCGAGGACGTGGACATCGATGTGGTGGGCGAGGGCGACGACGGGCTGGAGGAGAAGGACAGTGACGCGGGCTGCGACAGCCCCGCGGGGCCGCCGGAGCTGCGCCTGGACGAGGCGGACGAGGGGCCGCCGGCGGCCCCCCACCACGGGCAGCCCCAGCAGCCGCTGGTGTTGCCCAAGGAGGCGACCGGGGCCGGGGCCGGGGCCGAGGTGGGCGCGCCCGAGGCGGACGGCTGCAAGGGCGGCGCTGGCGGCGAGGAGGGCAGCGGCGCGGGCGGCGGCGGCGGGCCCGGCGCAGGTGGCGGCGCCGCGGCGGGCGGCCTGGCCCCGAGCAAGCCCAAGAACAGCCTGGTGAAGCCGCCCTACTCGTACATCGCGCTCATCACCATGGCCATCCTGCAGAGCCCGCAGAAGAAGCTGACCCTGAGCGGCATCTGCGAATTCATCAGCAACCGCTTCCCCTACTACCGGGAGAAGTTCCCCGCCTGGCAGAACAGCATCCGCCACAACCTCTCGCTCAACGACTGCTTCGTCAAGATCCCCCGCGAGCCGGGCAACCCCGGCAAGGGCAACTACTGGACCCTGGACCCGCAGTCCGAGGACATGTTCGACAACGGCAGCTTCCTGCGGCGCCGGAAACGCTTCAAGCGCCACCAGCAGGAGCACCTGCGCGAGCAGACGGCGCTCATGATGCAGAGCTTCGGCGCCTACAGCCTGGCGGCGGCGGCGGGCGCCGCGGGACCCTACGGCCGCCCCTACGGCCTGCACCCCGCGGCCGCGGCCGGCGCCTACTCGCACCCGGCGGCCGCAGCGGCCGCGGCAGCCGCCGCTGCGCTCCAGTACCCGTACGCGCTGCCGCCGGTGGCGCCGGTGCTGCCACCCGCCGTGCCGCTGCTGCCCTCGGGCGAGCTGGGCCGCAAGGCGGCCGCCTTCGGCTCGCAGCTCGGCCCGGGCCTGCAGCTGCAGCTCAACAGCCTGGGTGCTGCCGCGGCCGCCGCGGGCACGGCGGGCGCCGCGGGCACCACGGCGTCGCTCATCAAGTCCGAGCCCAGCGCGCGGCCGTCGTTCAGCATCGAGAACATCATCGGCGGGGGCTCGGCGGCGCCCGGGGGCTCGGCGGCGGGCGCGGCGGGCGCCGGCGGCACTGGGGCCACCGGGGGCGGCGGGGGCGGCGGCACCGCGCAGTCCTTCCTGCGGCCGCCCGGGACTGTGCAGTCGGCGGCGCTCATGGCCACGCACCAGCCGCTGTCGCTAAGCCGGACGACCGCCACCATCGCGCCCATCCTGAGCGTGCCACTCTCGGGACAGTTCCTGCAGCCCGCAGCCTCGGCGGCCGCCGCCGCCGCCGCCGCCGCTCAAGCCAAGTGGCCTGCGCAATAGGGGCGCGCGGGTGGCTGGGACGCAGGGCCCGGCGGCGGCCCCGGGTGCTGGCTGTCCTCGCGGGGCTGCGTGCCCCGCCCCGGCCCCCCTGCCCAATCCCGGACTCTTCCAACCCCCCAGGTCCCCCTCTTGGCCTCCAGCGGCCTCCGCCCTCTCGCTCACACCTAAGCCGGCCGAGCAAACTCACCGCGCGCCCGCCGGGAATAGCTTTCCGTACAGGTAAACCCGAAAACCGAATTTTCCAGACATACACCCCGACGGCGCCTGGTCTCAGTACCGTGGGGATGGGAGGGAAATTCTTTGTACATATTTGTATAAAAATTACTGACTTTCCTTTTGGGGTTTTTATTTTTTTAAGAAAAAAAATTCAGTAGATTTAGAGCTCTGAACTTTCATTTTTTTTGAAGGTTCACTCTCCGCAGTTTTATCCGAGAAAAAGAATGTATAGAGACGTTGGGAGATTTTAAATATAAAAAAAATTTTCAAAAAGGCGAAAAATGTCATTCTATTATAAAAGTCTGTTTATATATGAATGAATATATATGGTATTCTAAATGTTATTCCATCGTGTTGTAAACAACTTTGTAAATAAATTTTTAAAATGCTTAATCTAGAGTTTTGTTTAGGTGTCTGAAGTAAATGCCAAGAGTTAAAAATGGTATTTGCATTTTATCTTCCCCAGAAAACCGAAGAGTTTAAAGTGATGACCTTTTCAAACTTTGCCAATTCACAATTTGAATGTGAAAACATTTTAGTTGGAGAAAGGGAAGGGTTTGTCTAATTTAAATTGCGCTAATGTTTTTGTTTTTCACACAAAAGTCAGGATATGGGTGATGAGCTGGTTCTTGTCAACTTATCAAATCTAAATGACCACACACAGGTGTGGATAAAGTAAACTGTCATTTTAAAAAATGTAATTCTAAACAATAGTGAGTCTTTTAACAGCTTTTTTGGGGGGGGGGGAATCAGACGAGTATTTTCCACAATGGAAGCTCCTCACGTACCAGAGTTCTGGGTCATTTTAATTAGCCCCCGAAAGCATATTCCAAACATCCCTCACTTGAGCGATTATATCTTAAGATTTTTGAAATAATTTCTTTTCATCTTTTAAATGAAAATGGTAAATGAACCCAGCTGATTTTTTTTGAATTTGTGTGACAGCATTTTACATTTTGCAGTGGGATTTTTATCTATTATCTATATTAATATGACAGATTGTCCGTAACTTTTATTCTTTCATAATATTTTAAGATAGGATACCTCTTTCCTGTGCAACGATCCAGCCACAGGATGACTGGGTTTCTCTAGGATTCCTATGGATGCCTCCTGTCTCTCCAGCCCGAAGCCTTACTGGAGGCCGAGAATGGTGGCCTTAATACCCTTTTAAAAACAGGTGCACTTCACCTTCCCCGCCGTTTTTTACTTTACCTTAGTTTAGGTTAGTGTGCAATGTGAGCTTGTGGGGCATGAACAAGGCATGTCCTCGTGGAGTGTTCGAATGTGCATTTCAGCTGTTTGAACCTTTTTTTTTTTTTTAATATTAAGGCAGAAAGCTAACACCCTGACGCGGGAGGCCGGCTCGCCGCCAGCATCTCCTCTAACAGCATGCGTCCTAGTTATTTGGTAGTCAGTTTAGCTGCTGGGATTGCTTACGCGAAATGGTCGCTGAGGACCCGAGCCGGCGCGTCCCGCTCGGAAGGCGCGGTGGGCGCCCTGGCCACCGCGGAGGTGGAGGTGCGGCCGAGCCGCCGCGCCGAGCCCGCTCCTCTTAGCCTCCGCCGGCCGCCCAATACCGAACCTGTTTTCCTAGTAAACGGTAAACATTATTGTGCCCTGAGTAAACATTCCGTCGGGATCAGGGTCCTAAAATAAAACAAGCTGCCGGGGGGTGCGGCGGCTGGAACCCGAGTCGCAGCCGCCTTCCGGGGAGCGGCCCGCACCTTCGCCTCCCGGGGGAGCACGCGCCGCACCGGCTCCGGGCCGGTCCCTTAGGATCTCCTTTGCGAGGAAAACGCAACGGATCTAAATTTGTTTGTGTGTTGCAGCTATAAAAGTAGCAAGTTGTTTCACAGTTGTGTCTGGCTAATCGGTTTTTACACAAACAGCAAATGGTACATGATTTGTGCAAACACACAGAGCTTATTTCTAAATTTAGCGGACACCCCTGGGAAAAGGGAAAGGCAGGGCTTCTTGAATTCACTTTTAGCCTCAAGAAGCTGCTGATCCAAGGCTTCTCGATGACATCGGATAACAGGGGCCTCATTCCATCCCTGATCCTTTGTTACTTATAAAATTACTCGCTCATATTTCCGCGCATAGCAGCGATGCCGGCCGAGCCTGAGCCCGCAGCGTGACTCTCTGCCGCAAGCCGCCCTTTGAGGCCAGTGGGGCTTTTTCTAGGGCTGCCTTGGGCGGCGGGGGTGGAGGAGCAGGGGTCCGCCGGCCGCTTCTCCCCTAACCGCAGGGCCGCAGCCGCGAGAAGGGCCCCCTTTCCTTTGTATCTGCAACGCTGGGAAGCCCTGAGAGCCCCCAACCGGCCAGCGGTTCTTCCCAGTCCTGGCAGATGCCAGGAAGGTAGGCCTGGCCGTCATCCCCTGCAAAGCTCTTTGGGGTTGATGCTTTCGAAACTGCGAGGATTTGGAGCAGAAGGGGAAATGCAGATGTCGTAGACAGCGAGCGCAGGCTCTTACCGGTGGGGCGCGCGGGCGCTCGGAACCCCCGGTTGGAAGCGATCGAACGCCCGCACCTGCGACAAAAGGCGCCGGAATTCGCCCTCCCGCCGAGATTGAAGCCTACGCCACGGATACCCGCGTTCTATTCCACTTGAAAGGAATAAAGGAAAGAGGGGGAGCGGATTTATTTGCCATCAAAGGAGGAAGCGTGTGGATACCTGGGGAGGGGGGTAGGGAGGGATTTGAGCTTTCGGGTGTGCAGGAATTCAAACACGTTTCCATATCCTCCGGCACCGATTTCTAGAACATTAACCCGTTCCCCAGGCCTGTAGACCCAGCAGCGTCCTCAGGACGGAGTTCCTGAGTGGGGCCCCCGCATCCAGCCCCCCGCGGGGAAGGGAGGGTGGATCTGGGGGTGCTGGAAATGAGGACCAGGATAGAGCAAAAAGCGCGCACCGGCCGTGCGGGGCTCGCGCTGCCGTGGCGGATGTGGCCTGTAGGGGGCGATGGGCAGGTGGAAAACTTCTCGGTCGGTCTCGGAGGGGTCAGGCCCCGCCCTCGGAGGCCTCTCCTTCGCTCCCGGGCCCCGAGTCCCCCGCCACCTCCCCGGAGCCTCGGGCCCTGAGACGCCCAGGTTGCGCCTTCGAGAAGCTGCTGCTTCCCTCGGCCTCTCCCCTGGGAGGGACACGACATCCCCCCCCCCCCAAGGGAGTTTGTCCTCAAGACTGGGAAGCAATAAAGTTTAGTGAGGAGGAAACATTGACTTGGAAGCAATTAGCAGTTCTATTTGAGGGTATTTATCTTAACACGGGGTAGGCAGAGCCTCGGCAGGAGAGGCAGCTCCAGGGGCACGTGCCCATGCCCGACTGCAGCTGCGTCCGCGACCGTGGCGTGAGCGTGCGGCCGGAGACCCGAGAGCGCCCAGGCCCCGCCTTGGGGTGCAGGTGGCGGTCTGTGTCGCCGAGGAGAGACTAGCAGCAGTGGGATGAGGCAGGCCTTGCAGAAGGCGTCCGGGTCCGGGACGAGGCGGTTCCTGTGGCTTCCGAGGAGCCGCAGGGTGTCTCCGAATCTCTCCATTTTCTTGACTCCACCACCGAGTGAGCCTGCCTGCCGCTTGGGCTTGCAGAATTAGGTGAGTTAGTGTCAGTGACAACTGTTGTATAAACTGTAAAGAACATGTAGAGTGCCTGGGGTTTTGGTTTTTTGTTTTATTGACTTTAATGGCCTCTGGACCGAGAAAATAACTCTGTTCTAAGCACGGGTAGTGTTGAACTTGAATTTGAACACCTCGATTTTAGGTGCACAAAATGGATTTTTCTAAGAGTAGTCCCAGAACCCAGCCCAGATCCTCCCTCCCACCCTCCGCTACCTGGAAGGATGGAGCAAAACAGAGTTTGGTCTGCAGGCGGCTTTTAAAAGGTGGAGCCTCCTCCCGGCTTGGAGTCCCTCGACCACGCCCTGGGCCGGAGCAGGAGCCCGAGGTGCCCACCCTCCCCGGGGCCTGCACGCCCAGCTGGAGAGGCCGCGCGTGTCGCTCTCCGGCTGAGCGGTCGGCTTTGCTGTTCGCCCCGGGCTTCCACTGTGCTAGGCAAGTGGGGAAACCCGAGCCCGCCGCTGACAGACGCCCATTAGCGCAGGACGCGGCCTCGGAGGCGAATGAAAGGTAACCAGATCCCGGGCCCGAGGAGAAGACCACCCTCCCTTCGCCGCCCTCCGACAGTTGGCGGAGCTGCGTCCAGAGCCAACTTCTCCCTGCCCCTCCACCCTCTTGCCCTCTTAGGAATGCACAGGCCATTCTCCGCTCCCCGGATCTCGACCAGCACCGCAGGGCGGGCGCACAACATACGTTAGACAAGGAGGGTTGCAGAACCAGCCAAGGGCGTCCCGAGAAAGCCTGGTCATCCCCGCTTTCTGTCCGAGGGGGTGGTTTACATCAAGGTGTTTGCAAAAGGAAGCAAATGGGTCCCCTCCCCACTCCTGCTATGAGACCTGTCCCGAAGCAGCCATTCTCTCCAGGACAATTTTGGGCTGATGCACACGGCTCCAGCCCCGTCCGTGGCCAGGCGGGTGTGTGTGTGTGTGTGTGTGTGTGTGGCATCCGAAGTCCCTCGCGCAAGGCCCCCGATGCACCTTCTGTAAAACCGGGCTAGAAGGTTGGCACCAGCAGCGGCTCCCGGGATCTCCCCCTGCCTCTCTTCACAGAGGCCCAGAGGTCCCGTGACTTACCCAGGGTCACTCAGCAGCCCAAGGGTCAGCTACGGAAATGCTCAGAGGAGAGAGGAGTGCCCTTTGCTTGGCTGCAAGGCGCCACTGGAGGAAAGCAAAGCAGCGAACACTGGGGGTAAAGACGGCTGGGGTACGCGGAGAGGAGAAAGTCGCCATCAGCGCGGGGCCGAGCCGGACCACGTTCCGGGCAGGGGCGAACCGGGGCGCTGGGGCCTCTCGCGCGCGGCCCAGGGCACCCGCCGCGCTCCAGCTGGGAGCGAAGAAAGCGGGCAGGGACTGCAGGCCCTGAAGCTCGCCTACAGCCGACGGTGGGCGGCCCAGCCACGGCGCTGTGGTGTCGCGATCACCCCCGCGCCAGCCTCGAGGTCCGGCCTGCGGGACTCCAGCTCCCCCTGCCTTGGAGGGAGGGAAGGAAGAAGAGACTTCGAATTCATTCGGGAGGAACTCCAGCCGTTAAAGAAGCGTCGCGGCAGAGGTGGGCGTGCAGCCGTACGAAGGGTGGGGACTCGGCCCGTTCCCCGCGGGCGCACGGGAGATGGTGACGGGAAGCAAATCCCCGCTGAGTGACGCCCCAAGCTGGGAGCTCTCAGGCGCTCCGGGCAGGTTTTTCCACGCGCTAATTAGGCCACAGCCCTGGAGTGAGGGCTGTCGGTGACGCGGCCAGGACTCGAGTGTCCCCCAACACTGGCCCGCGCGCCCAGCCGCCGACGCGCCGCGAGGGGTGTCAAATTCTGGGTGTCGCGGATGCCCCTGTGGGTGCGGCGGCACAATTGCGGTGCACGTCCTACAAGAGCCTTCCAAACTCCACCTCCTGCTCTCCACTCAGTAGATGGTGAGCAAGACTGCATGTCTCCCCAGACTTCACACAGTTCGCTGTTGACCCCTTTCCTGCAAGGGCCTGGCTTCTCAGGGAACTCCATCAGCATTAGAGCATTCCTCACCCCAAATTTTCTCTTTGCTCTCAAGTTCCACCTGGAAGGCAGCGCCTTCTTGGAGCCCACTGTGGCAACTAATGAGCCATTGTTAGGATCTGTGATTTCCTGGTGAATCCCTTACTGCCTAACCTCGCTGAACCAAAGGGGGCCGACCCAACTTAGTTGCCTAGGCAAGCTTGGAGGCTGTGAATTGGTAAATCAGGTGTTTCTCAAGAGTGTGGGGGACTTTCTACCCCTTCCTTCTCTTCAGTTCCCATCTATATAACAAATGCTTCTATAAACACCCTGTTAATTTTTTAAATGAATGAATTTAAAAAGCATTTATTAGAGATCTGAAAAGTATGAGACATGTCAACCGTTCATAATGTAATTGGATTTTCTGGCCTGTTTTCTCCACCATCATGAGATTAGTTGAAAACTCCCAGCTGGAAATACCAGCAGCCAGTTCCACTGCCCACGGAAAGGGGAAAGCCCTGTAGAGCGCTTCCCCTTCCAGCCAGCCTCTGCCTGTGTTCTTTCCAGGGGGATGAGGGAACACTCATTCCCAACAAAGGCATCCACTTCACTCAAGAGAATCTTTATTTGTTCAGATGTCTTTCTTTGACAGAACTCTTTCATTTCCTTAAAAAAGGAGAATGAATTTGAGTCAATTGGCCATATTTTCATGTAGCAAATTTTCTTTTTTTTTCATCTAGACACTCTCCAGCTTCTACATTAAAGCAGCTGCTTGTTTTTGAGCAAAAGCTAAAGCTTCAGGGTTCTGTGTTCAGGACACTTGTTCCAGATGAAAAGCAGCTTTAAAAGTTAAGCAAATCATTTGATTTATCTTTCATTGCTGCATCTCTTGGCATAAAAGTTAGCTCTTACCTACTAATCATCTAAACCATTCCCCAGATAAGCCATTCCCCATATAAAAGTAGGAGTTTAGGTATCTTCTCCAAAAGATGCACTCTTTAAGATCGAAAAGTGGAAACAAGGAAAATTCCAGATGTTTTGTCCATTGTCTGCTGCTTGGTATCAAGAGAATATGCTTTTCTGTGTTTGCCAGTTAATGTAGCTTTACAAATTTGCATCCCAGTTGGTGTGATTGAGTCTTTATATAGCCACTTTAGCTTCTTTCTTCGCATTGCTACAGACTATGCCAATAAAGCGTATCTCAAGCTCTGTCATCGTGCAAATGTACATGTTGGTTACAGGAGCCAGGTAGTATTCAGATCAGCAGAAATTAATCAGCACCGCGGTGGAACACCCGCTTTATTGATGGTCCTTCACCAGCACCACCTTTCCACATACATCAGGAATTATGACTGTATGATAAAGTCACTCCTGTTGCTACAGGGAATTGAGTATAAGAGTTAATAGATAGGATTAGAAGACAAGACTAATTCCTAGTCCTAGTCCTGACATTGAACTTGCAAGTGTCTCATAGATTCTATATTTGCCCAGAGTAAAGACCACTATTGCAAAATTTCGGTGAGGGAAAGAGAGGAATTATGGTATAATAACTATCATTTCAAAATATTAACTTTCTGAGTAACTGTTAAAAATTTAAAGATTTTTTAAACCTTGATTTTACTTTTGATTTAAGGTATGTGTCATTGCAGGATATCTGTCATCCAGACTCGCAGCAGGTTAAGGACTCCTTTCTTCTGGTATTGATACTGGATCTTATAGTTGGGAATGGAACGGAAATCATCCCTTCTAGCACCAGGAGGCCCCAGGAATAACTTAGAGAAGCATCATGAGAGATTGTGAGTGAATCCACCTTCCATTTGGGGAGCAATTATTCTGGTGTGGTATACTTAATATATATCCTTACTGGATTACCTTGTTTTTGGTTAAAGTATTTTTACATTCAATGAGATGGGCAATGAGGAAGCATTTTATTAATTACAGGAGCTACACACTGTGTGAGAGATAGCTATACTACATTTCCCAAACTGATCCCTTTCTGTATTAGTCACTTTTCCTTACCATAACAAAATACCTATGGTAAGCTAACTTTGTAAAGAAAATAAGCTTGGGGCCAGCATTGTGGCACAGGAGGTTAAGCCATGGCTTGCTACAGTGGCACCCCATATCCAAGCACAAGTACTGGCTGCTCTACTTTTTTTTAGATATATTTATTTATTACTTGAAAGGCAAAGTTACAGAGAGGCAAAGGCAGAGAGAGAGACACACAGAGAGACACACACACACAGAGAGAGAGGTCCTCCATCTGCTGGTTCACTCCCCAAATGGCTGCAATGGCCAGAGCTGGGCCGATCTGAAGCCAGGAGCCACGAGCTTCTTCCCAGTCTCTCTCTCTCCCCCTTTTAGGTAAATAAATAAATCTTTTTTTAAAAGGGCATAAGTTTATTTTGGCTTCAGTTCTGGGGGTACATGGTCTCAGCTGGTGATGGCTGTCTTCCTGGCGGCCTGCAGGTGGCACAGGGCATCACATGGCAAGAGACAAGGTGTGTCTGGTCTCTCTCCCTCTTACAAAGCCAGCGGGATTCAGTCATGGGGGATCTGCCTGAATGATTTTATCTA